CGGACGGGATGCGGTGCTTTCAAAGTCCTATGGCCGTGGATAAAAATTAACGTTTTTACAGCCTAGTATATCGTATGCGTGTGGTAGAAAATTTTTTCAAAAGTACAATCCAAGTATGTGGTGGTGATGATGATGATGCTAGTGGTGAGCTTGAAAGAACCAAGTCCGTGTGAAGGGTGTTGAGTGACAATATTCCATGAAATAATATGAAAGTATGTGCGCTGAGGTATACTAGTGTGTAGGTGGTGTGTGCATAGGAAAGGTAAAAACGCGTCAAGAAAGTTCAGCAGCTGTCTATGCAGCTTATCTGGCTACTTGCGGGTGCTCAATTCTCATTTTTCGCGCCAACGCTGTCGCGTTGGAGATATCTCACATCAAGATACCGCGTAGAATATATTGAAATACATCGCACACTCTTAGTTGAGGCTTACAAAATACATATAATACTTTGCTTTACGTGTTTTCCCGTTTAGATGGTTTTGTATATACAAAGGTGGAATACTATATAGCGCACAGAAAGAATTTAGAAACCTTTAAATGGTAAAAGTAAGAGTTTGTTATAGTATTTGAAGCGATAGCATCAAATCAATAGCCTCCTCTTACCCGCCCATCATGACTTCCATTGGTGGAATATTGACTTTGCCTAGTAACTTGAAGAGGTGACCACTCAGTTGAAAGAAACCAACGCCCTTCCTTGGTGTTGATTAGAAATGCTTGTATTTCCTAGTAATTTTGAAGTCTCCCGTTCAAGTCCCACAGGATGCAGTGTACGGGTGGGGAGTAATTTCTGCACTAATACCTCCAGCACGCGGAAGCATACAGATGGGAGCAATTTGAACACCCCTCTCACACATTAAAACCTACCAGTATACACCCCTTTTGGACTTACCATATGGCAAAATTTTCCCGCAGGGGCTTCAAATTGAATAGCAAAGTTGAAAATCACTAGCCAACTTTGTTAGTAGCACAACTCTAGCAAAGGTCTCTAGTAATTTTGAAGCATTGCATGATTCGCAATTATTTGCCATTTTCACAAGGGGTCCCCCTTGGATTGTGATTTTGGTCCTTCAAACCTGATTTTTTTCCTTCAAATTTGAAGGGCGCGTGTCTAGGAATTTCCAAAATCTCAAATTTCTGGCCAAGATCGCGACAACCTGGCCACTCAACGAGCGGGCGTGAAATGGTTGCCATCAATTATAGCACCTTTTATTAGCCCTCTGGGGTTGTTTTTGCTACCCCTATATCGTACTCTCATGATCACCCATCCCATCAAGGGAACCCCCTGGAGACTCGAACTGAGGCCTT